ATTTTAGAATTGTTTTAGTTGGTTTATTAAATTGTTGTGACAGCTCAATAAATGGATCTTGGCAGCACGGTGCTGGTTTGCAATATGTCATACTAGCCCCATAGTGTAAACCAGTATCTATACACAAAAATAAATGCGTACATGTAAGTGTATCCTCGGGGCGGAGCTACGTCACAGGAGTTCCACGTTGCTAGGACGCGCACCACTGTACCATGTATTTCTATGGGCTCTGTGCGCGTTGCTGTGGAACGCCGGTCGAGCCGATGAAAATTCGAGAAAACATCACAAACTCAACTTTGAAGTAATCCTGAACAACCAAATTTATATATGTTACACAAGTAGGGCTAATCGTGTTACATTGTTCAGGGAAGTCTCAACAACCATCCCAAAGTACCGTTTTTTCTGTGAGTTTTTGGCCTTTGTTTTCACCGCGAGGCGGCGAAAATGCCCGGATGTCCACCCCGAGGATATTATTAACATATTGACTGCTAAAACCTTCCATGGATAGCAGATATGAATTGTATATAATTGAGTTAACAGGTGATTTGTTAACATACAATGATTCTAGGCTTTTTTTTTTTACTTTTTATCCAAAAATACTTCTTACATAGATACAACCTGGACTGACAAGCTACAATGTTCTGCTGTGGAAAGATGGAGTTTTGCATTGTTAAAATCCAACACCAGAGGGCGCCCACACCAGACTGATGTGATTAAACACCAGTGCAAAAATGCAAACTTTGACCATTTTCAGTGACACTGCACACTCTTGTTTTTCAAAAACAATTTCCAGTCACTCCATTTTTTTATTCTTGGCATGAACCGATAATAATAAAAATATGGAGAAAGTGACATATATAATACTCTGTCAAAATATTCTTAAAGGGCGGTGGTCGTCGCACCGCGTTCTGTTCGATATGGGACTCATAGTGTTGTACACAACGCATGTAAAATACATTGCTTATTTAAGCGAAATTCGAACACATGCTGCGCGACGACCACCACGCTTTAAGTTAACATTTCATTAATCTGATTTTGAAAAAAAAAGTGGTGAATTTTTAATACACATGTTTGACATACCTAAGTATTCACAACACAGTTGCTTGAGATCTGCTAACAACAAAACATCTGCTGACTGAAAGATGTCTTGCACATTATTATCATCCAATACTACCTCAGCAGTATAAATATAGTCAAGAATTTGTCCGAACGTCAAAGGGGATACCGTATCAAGATTGATTATTTGCTTTCTCTCAGCATTCCCTTCAATGTCATAGTTAAACAAAGACCTAGAGAATAAGTGATAAAGTGATGTATGGAATAACATGAGAACAGAAAATAAATTGATAAACAAAACTGAATATTCCTAAAGTCATCAGCTTGTGCATACAAAAGCAGCTTCAAGGTACATGTATTTCAAAGTGAACACTTACAAAGTAGTGGTAATATAGATAGATATTTTATTTGACACAAAATTTAGTATGAATGAAAAAAAAAACATAATAAATCAATGGTCAAGAAAAACACACAAAAAATAGACTATTCATTTAGAAATAAAATTTTAAATAATTCCCCAGCAGTTGACAATGATGCTATTTTTAGTGACTAGGACTTAAATTACTCAAGAGTTGATAACTTGTAATATAGTCAAGGTGCAAGTCATTCTATAGAAAAATTAGCTTTGAGAGTCAAAAAGTCAAGGTGCAAGTCATTCTATAGAAAAATGAGCTTTGAGAGTCAAAAAGTCAAGGTGCAAGTCATTCTATAGAAAAATGAGCTTTGAGAGTCAAAAAATCACAGAATGTGTGTAAGACGTTATTCAGTGACAACTTTATGTTGAGTGATTCAGTTCATGAATACATTACATGGACTGCACACGTTTGATTAAAGCTACAACAGACGATGTCAGCTGAACTCCATCAGTAACTCAAAATTGTTTAGGTTTATTTTGTTCTGTTTTCCACCTATACATATTATT